ACAGAAAGCAACTCAGAGATCACTACCTTGAGACAGTAAGAATGAGTGCATATGTTCAGACTAAGAGTTAAGACAGAAACTTGGAGAGCCATTCACTTAATTCAAAGACATGAGAAAAATGACCAGCTTTCTGCCGTATCTGCTCAAAAGATTCATGAGAATCTAAACCTATAGGTCCTACAATCCTGAAATGTATAAAGAAACCATCTTACTATACTCAAAGAATGTATCTGAGGAAAGTACACTAAATTATACATGAAATACACTAGGATATAATTTTTTCTTTGTAAATAGTAACTACATTTTCATTTACAATTAACTGAGGGAACTTCATTACTAAGTCAATAAAAAATGCAATCAAGTGTTTACATGTAAACCAGGTATTTTCCTTTTCCTTCAACAAAAATATTAAGTCCAAAATGCCAACATACAAAAGGATTTACACATTATTTTGACAGAAGCTTCTCCAAAAAAAAAAAAAAACAACTCTGCTAATATCAAATGCTAAGCAATGAACTTACAATCATTTCAAATATTACTACGAAGAGCAAATCTGTAAATATTTAAAAATTCAAAAGTTTTAAAATTCTTCATACAAGGACCATGATGCCCTTCTGATGCTGCATCTATTTTAGACATTCTGAAGCCCCAAGAATAAATATACACCAATTATCTCTTCATTAAATAAAGACACAGAACTCTTACAGGAACATTATATTCTCCTGGAAATCTAGAAATGCATATTGGCAGGATGGATTATATTACTAATCATACCATTTACCCAGAAGACACGCATTATCTAAGCAAACCTCTCTTTCAGTCATAACACATATAGATAGGAAGGAGAAATGTCTTGTAATTGGGGCCCGGCACGGTGGCTCACACCTGTAATCCCAGCACTTTGGGAGGCCGCAGTGGGTGAATCACAAGGTCAGGAATTCAAGACCAGCCTGCCAAGATGGTGAAACCTCGTCTCTACTAAAAATACAAAAATTAGCCGGGCAGAGAATTGCTTGAACCCAGGAGGCGGAGGTTGCAGCAGTGAGCCGAGATTGCACCACTGCACCATTCCAGCCTGGGCAACAGAGCAAGACTCTGTCTCAAAAAAAAAAAGAAATGTCTTGTGATTATCAGCAAGAAATGGGCAGATGTACAAAAAAGCAATACATAAGTGAGAATCTCAAAAGTAACTTTTTCTCTCTTAAACCAGTTTCTTCGTTAAAACTCGAAAAAGAGACAAACTGAAAAATACAACTACTGATATGAAGACCTACAGAACATAGTTTTTACTAGCTGACAAGACAAAGTGATGAAAGTCACCTAGAAACAATTTACTGATGAACAGCGACATATTATGGAAATAAAATGTACATCCCTCAACCTATACGTATTCATTAATGACATTTTGAAGCTGGCAGCTTCTTTAAAAGACTAACTTAAGAATAAAAGAAACTTAAAACATATATAGTCACTGTCTTCAAGAAGTCAGAAGTAATTTTTTTACCGTAAACACATTCTGGGGCTGGGTAAAGTGGCTCATGCCTGTAATCCCAGTATTTTAGGAGGCTGAGGTGGGAGGATCATGAGGTCAGGAGTTCGAGACCAGCCTGGCCAACATGGTGAAACCCCATCTCTACTAAAAATACAAAAATTAGCCGGGCGTGGTGGCGGATGCCTGTAATACCAGCTACTCAGGAGGCTGAGGCAAGAGAATCACTTGAAACTGGAAGATGGACGTTGCAGTGAGCTGAGATCACGCCAATGCACTCCAGCCTGGGCGAAAGAGCAAAACTCCGTCTCTAAATAAATAAAAAACGTGAACACATTCTGTATTACAATTCTATGAACAATACTGCTTAGGTTCTGTAATCTCAATAACAAAAAGAGTTACCCCAAACTATCTTAAAAACACATTAACAGATGGGTACGGTGGCTCACATCTATAATCTCAGCACTTTGGGAGGCCAAGGCAGGTGGATTGCTTGCGCCCAGGAGTTTGAGACCAGCCTGGGCAACACGGCGAGACCCCGTCTCTACAAAAAAATACAAAAAATTAGCCCGGTGTGGTGGCGTGTGACTGTAGTCCCAGGTACCCAGGAGGCTGAGGTGGGAGGACCGCCTGAGCCTGGGAGGTCAAGGCTGCAGAGAGCTGTGATTATACCACCGCACTCCAGCCTAGGCAACAGAGTAAGGCCCTGTCACAAAAACGAAACGAAACAAAACCACACACAATAAGAAAACAACATACTAGAGATGTGGTCTCTAGGTTCAAATGCAGAGCTCTCTGACCTGACATCAGCATCTAAAGCACTCACTTCATTAGATCAGACAGTAAACGCTTGTCATTCTTTACCAAAATAACTTGGAGAAAATCAGTCATTTTCAAACCGAGCATATCCACGTCTACAACTACAAACAGGAGTGTAAGTTTAAGACCTGACAAAAGAACTAAAAATTGTCAATGATTTGTCATGCTACAGAGGATTTAAACGGAAGACACCAGCACTTACATACAATTAGCTTATAAAAAAAGCAAGGAGTTAATTAAAACAATGCTATAATGGTACTTCAAATGTTGAATGCTATAGACTTTACATGTCTGAATCAATACTGCAGTGTGAAATTCTGCCAAGCCTACCACTAGGAAAGTCTTTGCCAAACAAGACTCACTTTTATTTTCTCCTCCTGCATGACCTACTTCAGACTAGAATCTTTCAAGCATATAAAAGAAATTAATATGTAAATGAAAATGCTTAAACCAAAGAAAAAAATAAACAGGGATATATTCTCATCTGAAAAGTCAGGAGGTTGGACCATGAGACCACTAAAGTCCTTTTTAGCCCTAAAACTATGATTTATTGTGATAACACCAAGAAGCTTATCACAAACTATATAGAACTTCGGCTTCTAAAAGTCAGTGATGATGGTTTGAAAAGGGGGGAAGGGGAAATAAAAGATGAATAATTTGAAGCAGGATCAGCTACCAACACTGGCGCCAAAAACAACTAATGACCTTAATCAGGTCAGAGTTCTATACAACAAAAACTGAATTCCTAAGGCTGGGGATTATTTTCCTCCTTTCCCTCCAATATTTTGTGAAAATGTTTATTCTCAATCTGTGTGTGTGTGTGTGGGGGGGGGTGATACTGTGGAAGTACTAAGTTTAGAAAATAATTTTTACTAAAATGCTGATTTCGTCTCACAATGTTTCACATAAACTCAAAAAAATTAGGTATCATTATATTCAATGACATGTCTCCATTTTACAAAATTAAAAGAAAATTTCAATTAGTAAACATCCACTTGAACAAACAATAGTCTTAAATTTAATGCCAAATATTATACATGCAACTCAAGTTGAATGTAAATAATGTACTTCACTAATCCTTCATGTGTCTGAGCAAAGTGCATTCCTCTGGGCCCACATCAGATCATTAGAGAGGGCAAACTGACTTAACTCTTCTAAGCTCAGTTTCCTTGCCTGGATTTTTTTTTAAAAAGGGTATAATATTCCTTCCTTACCATGAAAATTCAATGAGGTAATGTGTACAAAGTATCTAGCACAGTGACATAATTCTTTATTGCTGTTAACTCTTGCTATAAGCCTAAGTTAGGCTTTCAGAAGCATTTTGAGATTCATAATGGTGGCAAAAATAAGTATTCAACATAAATCTACCTAATTTCTCCAAATTTCTAAGATTTATTCCTCCAGGGAGAAAATGTGGTTTTTCCTTCACTTCAACATTTCTAAAAGGTCACCAGATAAAACTTTCAAGACAACTAAAACCCTCATCCTCATTTCCTTTAAGAACATTCAAATGGGCATAGAAAAAAATCCCTTTCCCCCAAGCCACTAACCTCTAACATCTAGGCTCTGGCCTGTACCAAATGAGGAAGAAAGGGTCAGTGTATAATAAATATTTATACAATTATAAGTCAGAGCTTTACAGAGGTGTCACCTAACAAAATGCATAAATGACTAAGAATCATTCCATACGTCACCATTGAGACCACCAGAATATCACTGAATTCATCATTAGGATTATGGCTGTTGCTACTGGGATTATCACTGACAAGTCTTTGAAGCCAGTATGTCACATAATTTCCAAAAGGCCTCATAGAATAGCAAATTGTTGCTTGCTACAATAATGTTATATTCAAAATGACCACTCCTTGAAAAATTACTTTAAAACAAATTCCATTGTTTAGGTGTCCCATATTTAGACATTCAGATAAACAATCTACTACACAGTGTAATTTTAATTTGAAATCACCCTCTCCCTTTTTGCTTCAACTCCCCTTTAAAAATCCTATGCCATATCTTTCTATACAACACAGGCACTTAAACAAAAATGCCTAAGCTATTTAGGCTTTGCCATTTTCTTCTCATCTTGCTGCAAGCATGTTTTAATGGGATATTTAATTATAGATTCTACCATAGATTTACTGCCTTTCTTTGAAAATAGGAAACTCTTAAAGTAATTAAGAGCTACCTTGTTCAGAAAATACTATAGAAATAGAAATTCTAATCTCTCAACAAGAAATTTTTAAATTCTTATAAGGAGGCTTACCCTTTGAACAACATATATAATAAAAAGCTTTCTGGTCCATGAATATGAAAACATTTCTTACCACACGGCTAATTCAAATTGGCATTACAACAGTGAGTCAGAAAACCTTGTTCTAAATAGTGCTCTGATGAGAACATTAAAGAGTATTTGATTTAAAAGTTTTTTTTTTTTTTTTTTTTAATATCAACAGTCTTATAAAATCTGGCATCTACCTACTTCAAGGTATATTCCAAACAATTAGAACTCTGTTATAGGAATAGCTAGTAGTGGGATCTATAGCAGCCATTAACAGTTGCAAAGTAAAAAGAAATAGCAATAAAAAAATGGACACCCTGAGGTCAATGATTTCCTCCCAATAACCAAACAAATGTTCCAATAGCAAAAACCAAAAGGTGATGATAATTACTACAACATGTTATGTTAACCAACCTCCCTAGTCCCGCGCAATGAGCTCACAGAAGTCAGGATGTGCACAGGCTGTATCCTTCGCTGTTTCCATTCTTGGTTTAAGATTTCCGTTCTTTCCAAAATTTTCTGACGATTGGAACTAAACATACTCTTTAAAAAAAAAAAAAATGAAGGAGAGGAGAGGAAAAATTGTTCATTGTTAGAAAATGTGTAACACCTCTAAAGCAGGTTAAAAATCTAGTGTTTTCTCAATATCAAGAACATTTTCTCAGGTGCATGTGGATTTTACACTATAGTTTTCCACATTCAAATAATACAAAAACACCACGCCTATCATTTTATTGCAAGTTGTTAAGGAACAGGAAATCATTTCCATCCTTTCTTTGTTGACTCTGTGTGTGTGTGTGTGTATTTTTTTTAATCACAACGACTTTAAAAATATAAAACCACGAAATACATCCCTTTATATTTAGTCCTTCAGTCTGCACATGCAAATAAAAGTACACTAAACAACTGATTAATGTGCATACTGTAACGTTAAGACAGATCAAGAACCTAAGCTTCCAAGTATTCACTTATCTTACTGTAAACACAAACTTGGCTAGAAATATATTATTTCAAATAAAAACTTATTGAACTTAGGGGGAAAAATGAACCTATCCTTAATTGTATATTCATTTTCACAAAAGATAAAAGTATACCTTTACTTCATCAGCTCGTCTGAACCTCTTGAGCTGTCTCAGTCGCATGTACTCTGATTTTACACGCTTCCGCCAACAAACTGGTCCCTTCTCAGATTTCTTCCCAGTCTGGCCCATGATTATTCTAAAAGCAATGGTTTCATATTAAAATCACTAATCTAACCAGCCTGAATATGATCACCTGTGTTTTAATCCGCAGCAAACTAACAATCAGTGAAGAAATGACACATATTACACTGTTGGTATTTGCAGAAAGGGGCTCATTTGTCCTGTATGGTTAAATCCTTAAAACATTTCATTGAAAGTTTGAGTTTTTATTTAATATATTTTTTAAATATACTTTTATTTACAAAAATTCTATACTAAATTGCAGCCATATTACAGAAACATGATCCCATTACAGGAATTCAGTATACTATACCACAACCTAGTTTTTAACTCTTATGAGATCCACATTCATGAAGCGAAGAAAATATAAAGACATAGTCTAAGTTTTTCATCATTAAATTAGCTGTTACAGAAGGCATAATAGCTGAAAAAGGTAAATCCAAGAAGAAGTAAAATTTACAAAGAGTTCAACATGTAATAAATGTACAAACAAAGGTACTCTGTCCCCACACACTGAACCATGCACCTCTCCTTAAACACTGTGATAAAGCCTGTTATTTTTGCCTCTTGTGCCACCTTTACTAACATGAGGAGTTTCGTTATCAAGTGAAAAGAGGAATGCAGGAAATGCAAAGTAAATTCTTCTGCCTTATCTTTAGTTGCAGGCTCTAAGAACCAATTATGTTTAAATGCGGGGACAGCTTATAGTTCACCAGATGCCTAATTCATACTGCAGAGACCTCACCTTAAGTCTAAACAAGTGTCTTTTCCTAGAACATTTTCTTGTAAAGTATTAAAATCATACTGTATCTTCAAATTATTAGGAGGACATTCTCTGTCAGGCTGTGCAAAGCTCTGCAGACCAAACTAACAATTTGTGCTTCATCTTAAGAACAATGGGAAGCCACTTTTACTGTTTTAAGTAAAAGGGTGTTGGGTGAAGGAGTAAAAGAATAACTGCAACTAGGTTAAGATGCTGCTGCAGCACAGCATCCAGACAAGGGGTGACAGAGGCTTCTACACCATACTGGCAATGACAGGGAAAAGCACATGAATTCAAGAGTTATTTAGGCCAGAACTTTCACCAAATGATGATTTAAATATGGAAAATGAAGAAAAAGGTGACTTTCTGGCTTGAACAAATAAATGAGTAGGGCAGGCTTCATCTATTTGTTTACATAAAACCTCATGCACAGAGAAAACTGCCTAAGGAGAAGATTTAGAAGAAGAGTTCTGAGGTCAGTGGGTAACTTTCTACAGAAATACTCAACCACCAACAGGTGACAGAGAAAGCAGATGGCTGTTTACTCAGAGTTGAAATGAAGGGGCAAAGAAATTCATTTTCTCAAGCATATAATAAATATTATGACCCAGGCAATGTATACGAACTTGAATAAAATTAATATACTAATATGATTAAATCCTTGCCCCTGATATTCTACCTAAGAAAGGGGGGAAAATATAGTATGAAATAGACAGTCCTACTTCAGCATCCCTGTGGAATTGGTTCCAGAACACCCCTCAGATACCAAAATCCATGGATACTCAAGTCCCTGATATAAAGTGGTATAATATTTGCATATCACCTATGCATAGCTTCCCATATACTTTTTTTTTAAATTTGGCTTCCTGAGATATGAGAAATTCCTATATACTTTAAATCATCTCTAGATTACTTATAATCCCTAATACAATGTAAATACTATGTAAAAAGTTGTTATATTGTATTAAGAAAAAATGACAAGGAAAAAAGTATAGACATGTTCAGTACAGAGGCAACCATCCTTCACTTTTTTCTGAATGTTTTTTAGCTGCAGTTGATTTAACCCATGAATTCGGAATGCATGGATTTGGAATTCACAGATATAGAAGGCTGTTTATACAAAGGCACTTTGGGGGAAAGAAGAGAATATTAGGAACTGCAGAAGGATAGCAAGAAAGGTGACAAGTGAACTCAACCTTAAAAGTTGAGCTGAATTTCAAAAGGCAAAGGAAGAACCTAAAGAAATCTTAAGTCTGAGCAAGAGAAAGCTGGACGGGGGCAACTAAAGTCTGGCTGGTAGACATTTAACAAGGATGGACCTGGAGAATGAAAGTCACAAATTAAAAGGACTGAGAACCTAAAGTGAGTGAAGAGATAAGAATGGGCAGGAATTTGAGTGAGAACTTCATATAAAGAAGGCTGAAGAAATCACCAAGATAGAACTATTCCAAGAGAAAAGGTTCCAAGTGTGGCCTTGCCTGCAAGTTGCTCAAGTGGAGTAAAGCTGACAGTCACTCGGATTGAGAAGACTAAACTCAAGATAACCCCGGCTTTGAGGTAAAGCAGAAAATGGTGTTAGGAAGGCAGTGTGGTGGGACCAAAAGACATCAAAGATGGGAAGAAACTGGAGCATTATTTTTTAAAAATAATTTCATGACAACAATTTTCTTCCTATCTGCTAGTCGGTTAACAAATGAACTTAACTAATTCTATGCAAATTACTTAGACAACTTGGCACTTCAAAGGCCTAGCAACTACTGAAGGAAAAGGAATTAAATAAAAAGGAAAGCTCTGTAGCCTCATTAGCTCATAGGCTATTCACCTCCAGTCCATCTGCTGCCTAGACAAACATTCTCCTTGGAGGTAGCACCCCTGTACAGTAAAGCCTAGCGCAGTAACGTGTTTAGTTTTCACTGATGTATAATGTGGGTGTTGTTACAATTCATTTTTTAAGATGTATATTTTATGTCTTGGTGAAGACATTAGTTGGCATTTTATGTTTTGGTACTACAACTATCCCTGTCTAATATTCTGTAAGACTTTCCATGCTGTTTCTACCATTAATAACATAACTAATAAAGTATATCATGACAGATCTACAGTGTCCAGATAGTTCTTTGAAAGTGTAGGACCAAAGCAGATCCGTCAAAAAAATATTAAAATTTAAGGTACCAATTAAAAGGATGTTTTACACAAAACTCCCACCATCAAAGCATTTACAACATATTAAAATCACATTTCCATGTTTTTCACTCTACTCTACTCCCACTATAAGTGCTTCAATAGCAAGAACCACTTTTACTCATTTGTAAAATCCCAGCGCCTGCATGTGCCTGGTAACTGTACAGCAGTCCCCCCAAATCTCCCAAGACCGCCTCCCCACAGCAGATGCCTAAAGCTGCAGATAGTATTAAACTCTACACATACCATGTTTTTTCCTATCAATACACATGCATGAAGTTTAATTCATAAATAAGGCACAGTAAGAGATTAACAGCAATAACTAATGGTAAAATGAACAATTACAACAATATATTGTAACGAAAGTTATGTAGCTATAGTCTTCTCTCTCTCAGAATATTTAGTATTTTCGGACTGTAGTTTGATTAAGTAACTAAAGCCTCAGAAAGTGAAATTGTTGATTGGGGGTGGGGCTGCTATAGACTTAAAACAAGCAAACAAACAGGTCTATTAACCACACTGATAAAGAGTAACTTGTATCTTATTAGCATATCATTTGTAAAGTTTAGCTACAGGTATGAAAAGGAAGGGTGGCCTATCCATGCTTGAGCCAAAAAGTGAAGTAAAGTGCATCCTATTATCAAGAAATCACCAAAAGGAGATAAATCACAAGGACAGTTAGGACCCTGTGGTTCAGCCCTACCAATTAGATATCTTGAAACTAAAACTCAGTTTCTAGAATTTCTTTTTAAAAAGGAAGCTGATATTGCCTTAAAGACCTTACCCGTAAAACCTACCTCAAAGTCTGGTGACAAAAACCAAATACGCATGTAAACAGAGTTCTGCGCCTGGCATACAGTGAGCCTTTAGGTGTTAGCTCCCCTGACCTCCTTGCCCCACAACAAATGACAGGCTCAAATCACGCTTCTGACTCCATTTTCAGTGATCTCTTCACAACACCACAGCCAAGTAAGCACACTATTAAAATACAGATTCAAGGCCTGGCACAGTGGCTCAAGCCCATAAACCCAGCACTTTGGAAGGCCGAGGTTAGAGGATTGTTTGAGACCAGGAGTTCAAGACCAGCCTAGGCAACATAGTGAGACTCCCATCTCAAATCAATAAATAAATAAGCAAGCAAGCTGGGTATAGTGGTGCACACCCATGGCCCCAACTCCTCAGGAGGCTGACGTGGGAGATCTCTTGAGCCTGTGAGAAGGAGGCTGCAGTAAGCCATCCTCACACCATTGCACTCCAGCCTAGGTGACAGAGCAAGACCCTCTCAAAAAAGTAAAATAATAAAATACAGCTCTAAATATTCATGTATTGGCAGAAGCCTTTATTTAAACAACTTCTACTAAATAGACATTGTATAAATACATATGGTTTTTCAATTTTTCAAAGATTTGTTTAGTTTCATAAGTGAAATCCCACTAGCATGAACTTTATCCAGAATACGAAAATAGCTTTTCCTGTTCAACAGATTATAGCTCTAGTCATTAAAACAAAAGTCTACCTGTATACAGTGAAACCAAAATAACAATGGTTCTTTAATACAAAAGCCAAACCAGAATACGGCAGGGGACCATCAAAGCTTTAGTAAGAAGGTAGTAACATTTCACAGATTTACATTTACATAGGTTAAACTAAAATTCAGGCAAATTACACTGTTCACAATATATTTAATGAATTGAACCAAACTCAGAAATACCCTGAACACCATGCCTTTCCATCTTACTTTATCCCACTAGAGTAGATGCTATGTTGTTTTTGCCACCCAGGGTCAATTCACCCTTCTCTTGGGAGCTTCACACCAACTCTTCTGAGACCTACACCAAGTACAATGGAGGAAGCTGACTCGAGCTGCTTGTGACCCAGACCTGATCAAGGTGTATCTCCCTAGACATAGTGACGAGTACAGGGTTAGATACATGGCCACAATCAGTGTGGTCACAGTGAAAATCTCACGTTTCCTGAAATGCTAAGACAAGAATGCTCACTCTTCTCCCCCTAGATTTAAACCTGGAAAAATGTTTGCCCAAGGACTTGTTGGACGCCATCTTGAAACCATGAGAGAAGGGCCTACAAAGAACAGAGTCAACAAGAAAAAACAAAAGTCAAAGCCAAGAAGAACCTTAGTCTCATCACCTGAGCCCTAAGTCAGGCAGACATTCCCAAGCCAATTCCATAACTATTCAGTTATATGAGCCAAGAAATTCCCATCTTTTTTTTTTTTTTTCCTTAAACCAGTTTAGATTAGGCTTTCTGCCACATGAATACAGAGGGTATATGAGATACATACTTATCATTGAGACCATACACACACTGGTTCCTCCATATCCATGGGGGATTAGTTCCAGGACCCCCCGACAGATACCAAAATTCACAAAGGCTCAAATCCCTGATATAAAATAGTATGCTACTATGTAACTATACACATTCTTGCATATACTTTAAACCAGCAGTCTCCAGCTTTTTTAGCACCAGGGACTGGTTTCATGGAACACAATTTTTCCACAGACAAAGTGGGGGGATGGTGAATGGTTTCAGGATGACACTGTTCCACCTCAGATCATCAGGCATTAGTTAGATTCTCATAAGGATGGCCGGGCACGGTGGCTCACACCTGTAATCCCAGCACTTTGGGAAGCTGAGGCGGGCAGATCATTTGAAGTCAGGAGTTCAAGACCGGCCTCACCAACATGGTAAAACCCTACTAAAAATACAAAAATTAGCGGGGTGTGGAGGCAGACGCCTGTAATCCCAGCTACTTGGGAGGCTACAGCAGGAGAATCACTTGAATCTGGGAAGCACAGGTTGAGGTGAGCCGGAATCATACCACTGTACTCCAGCCTAGGCAAGAGAGTGAGACTCTGTCTCAAAAAGAAAACAACAACAACAACAACAACAACAACAAAAAACACGAGTATCTTAAGGAGCCCACAACCTAGATCCCTCGCGTGTGCAGTTCACAATAGGGTTCCTGCTCCTATGAGAATCTAATGCTGCCGCTAATCTGACAGGAGATGAAGCTTACCTCCTGACGTGCAGCCCATTCCTAACAGGCCATGGACCTACCAGTACCAGTCCATGGCCTGAGGATTGGAGAACCCTGCTTTAAAACCATCTCTAGATTACTAAATACCTAATACAATGTAAATACCATGTAAACAGTTGTTAAACTATTATGTTTAGGGAATAATGGCAAAAAAAAGCATGTACAAGTTCAGTACCGACACTTTTGTTTCTTTTCAAATGTTTTTGACCCATAGTTGGCTGAATCTACAAATGCAGAACCCCATTTACAGAGGGCCAGGAATGTCTGAATTAATGGAAGATGGGCTCTCATAGCCTACTTTATTATCATCAGCAGCATCAGCAGAAAAAGTAGAACTTCTTCCATCCCTCCAGGTTTACAGAGGTCCCAGGACCGCCAAGACACATCTTCCTACCTACCTCTCATCTCAGATGGCCAGGCCACACAAGTCCAAGGGATCCACACTGTTCTCTACCAGGTACGTCCCTACTCTACTTGTGAAAGGACTTACCTAAATCAGACATTCCTGCCCCTCCTTACCCAGCTGCCAAAAACTGAGTAATTTGAAAAAAGAAAAAAGTCCCATAGGTATTGTCAGAGCCCTTAATATTTCTATAAAAGTTATTCCTAAAGATTTGCTACATCAAGAGAATAACTACCTACTTGGTCTGCCCAAATAAATGTTTCTGTTTCCATTTGCCTAAAGAAAAAGATAAACTACATGTACTATGTATCCTTCTCAACTAAATTAATAGCATCAACTTTGACTCTTAACTGAATACCAGGCCAAGTAAAGTCAAACACAAACCCAACAAGATGTAAGTAATGTAATTACAATATTTTCGATGTCCTTCCCTTTAAAAAATGTTTACTTCACAGCAAGACTGCCAAAAAATTGCCTATTTTGAAAACTCTCCAGTCTTCAATAGTGCCTGTTTGTATGTTTAAATGCTTTGAAGGCAGCTGTTAGTCTCATTTGACAATTCCATTTGTTTTAAAGTTACAATCCATTGTTTCAACATGTTGAAATTTAAATTAATGGTAAGTGAGATTTTATAGGTAAGGTCAAGAAAAGCAACACATAAAGAGAACTTAGACATGGCCTTACGCCAGGCCATGTCCTAGCTCAGCAGAAAGAGAGCTATCAGGATTAATAATGCCTGTTACGGACATGGGGCAAAGAATTGGGGTAGCAGCACTCTCCACTTCAAACCAAAATCAAATAATAAACTAAACTAACAAGGGAACATTTAGTCCTATTAATTCTAAGTCCTACACACAGTCTTAAAAAGCAAGAGCTTGGACTCCAAAGCTCATTACCTGGGTTCACATCAGAGTTCTCCCACTTAGCAGCTGTGTGTGAACTTGGCCAAGTTACTGAACATCTTTGTGCCTTACTCTCCTCATGAAAAAAGGCTAATTCAAGAGTGTTTACTTCACAAAGTCATTATGAGAAGTAAACCTATGTACGGTGCATAGACAGTGCCTGGCAGAGGGTAAGCACTATATTGGCACTACTAAGGTATTGGCTATTGACTACATAAATGGCAGGTAAATGATATCAGAAATTACAACATTTATATTACAAAGTTAAGTTAAACAACAACTCAATGTGAAGACTTTTTTAAAATGATAAATTGAATGCAAATAAAAACAAAAAAGGATGTCAGGGGATCTCAGCATAGAATGCAACCTATACAGCAAGTCTAAGAGTATTATAATTTTATGAGATAATCTCATGGAAGGGGCAGGAGGTCAGGGGAAGCTAACCTACAGAACTTTGGACAATCTGTTGTTAACTAGATACAGGAAGGCTAAATACCAAAAGAACAATATGTAAACACTGTACCCTAGCTGGTAAATTTGTTTCTCATAAGGGTACCAGTCTGTAATTCTGAAAATACTCCACATGTACACTAGGGTTAAACAAACAAGTAAACAAAGTGTAGATAATGTAAGCCAGGTTTCTCAATGTCCCAGAAAGAAGTAAAAATAAGCAAGAGGTGGTGATGAATTAGTCAGATATATCAATATGAACTCACATTTATTTTTAAATATATACAGATAGATACAGAAACACAGATATGTATGCACATGTAGGTTACCTGACATATGTGCATTTCCAGGGCCTGTGCAACAGAGGGCCTGAAAGCAGTCATACCCCAGGAGCAATAAGCATACCCAGCACCCAAGACTTTTGTTTCTAAATACCACCCTCCAATAAATACAAGGAAGCAGAGTCTGGAGAAACAGCTGATTGTAAGGCTGGGACAGGGAAAATACAAGGCAAGCCAGCAGCAGAAGGGAGATGCTCAAGACAGGGATAGGCCAAAGACAGGAACCAAACAGAAGAAACTCCCAATGGCCAAAGCTGGAATAATTTGAACAGCAGATGAATCATAACAGTATTATAACAGAATAAAATAATTATTCATGAGACTATGATATAAATAAGTGATTAAATAAACAAATGAGGGAGAAGGAACAACTCTTCCTGACAAGAATTCCAAATGATATAAGTGTATACCCCCATTCTAGGAGGTAGAATTCAACTTCCTTCCCCGAGTATGAGCCAGACTCAGTGATTCAAAGAAGAGTCTAGAAAGGGAAACAGTAATGTTTCTGTGAAAAAACCATAACCATGAACACCATGGTAAGTCCTACTGTCATTACATACTCCATGACGTGAGGAAATGAGATGGGGATTTCCCCTCTGTAGTATCCTTGCCCCAAACCTCAACCCATAACCTCAGTATAATCATAAGAAAACATCCAATAAGCCAAAATCACAGGACATTCTTACAAAACATCTGACCGATACACTTCAAAACATTTAAGAGATCATGAAAAATAAGGAAAGGCTGAGAACCACCACAGGTCAGAAAAACTTAGGAGACATGATAACTAAATGAATTGTGGTATCCCGGATTGGATTCTGAAACCAACCACCCAACCAAAGAAGGACA